GACCAGTTTTATTAAGTAAAGACTTGTGTCGCTAAAGTTTCGTCGGAACGAAGTTACGGAAAGTTAATTAACAAACGGAGACGTAACACTATTTATAAAGGTAACCATGAAATTATTCTATATTAGTTAGAGATTTAAGTACATATTCTTTATAGGGCGAATAGATATTACACAATACATTGATTATAGAAATAAATTAGCAATAAATGTTTTACGTTTACAATGTCAGAGAATGCAACATATATGTCATGCAAATTAAACATAGAAGCAAAAATATAATCAGTATGTTCAATGCATACTAAATCGATACTTAAAAATACAACCAGTTAACTGTTTCATTCAATATTTATAAATATGATACATCATGTATGATGAAATCCTTTCAGCACAGATAATTGTAAAAGTATGTAAAGTAAATTATTGACTATAATATTTGGGTCATTCAAATAATGGATAAATTAAGATAGCATGTGCGATAAAACTGACATATGTTAGAATAGTTGTCTCATTAAAAAAATGGTTTTACTTGTAACTTTTAGGATATATAATTAAATATAGACTACAATGTTGATGGATTAATCACATGTTTAGACAAGTTGAGACACCCTACGATAAGCTCATCATCTTATTAATCTATCTGTTTGTAGAAACACTATCCACCACAGCAGTAACCAAAAAAGTGAAACTCTAATCAGCATGTTAAATGTGTTAGTAACATTATCCAGCTCTAGAAACAGCAAAAAATATGTCATGCAAATTAAATGTAGACTCAAAAACTATAAATAAAAGTTGAGACAAGTTAAAATGTGTATGCAGTTCTATGGAAGTATGGTAACGCTGTCTACCTATAGAAACACCATCCACCCTTGCAATACACCTAGTAAGATCATCCGCCTATACAATCGCTACCCTTAGTAACATCATCCATATATAGAACCTTGGTGTAACAGCATTCGCTAATAGAACCTTGGTAACAATATCAGCCTTCAGTAATGCACCCTCTGGTATCACTTCATGAAACTATGACTTCTAACAACATGCTCACTGTTGAGTAACACATGAACTCTGATGTCCCGTAACATCTCCTAGCAACACTCTCTTTGGCAACAGACAACTTCTGTCGTTCAGTGTCATGGTGGTATGACAACTTCCGGCTGCCATATGTCATGGCAACCTAGCAGCGTCCCCCTAACAACACGCCCTCTGGTTCCACTTTTTGGAATTCATGACATCATTGTTTCTACCTCTTCCCTTTCCCTGAGGTAGCCAGTCAGTGTGAGGTGTCTGAACAGTCCAGATAACTTTGCTGTAAAAGATAGATAAACTACCTGTTGAACCTTGTGTGTTATTGCATAATTTATTCTAAAAGGTTTATGGGTGTTTCTTTAATACATAGCATGTTCCATTATGAAGTCACAGGTTTGTTTCTTGTGTCTGCAGCTTATGTTATTATACTTCGGTTGCTTACAAAATGTTTTTGTACAACTAATATCTAGGGCAGGTCTACTCACAAAAAATCTTCACAGAGCATATGTTTTTGGAAAGTCTAGCACACCAGAAGGTTTCTCAAAGTAGGACGAGATCTTTCAGATAGTTTAACCCGATGACTACCGGTACTAATTCTTTTAGTAGGCAATGCAAGTGTGCATTTGTGAATTGAAAAAATGATAGAGAACTTATCTTTTAATGGATTTCTGATTTTATTTTTATAAATAGTAGCATAACATTCAATTATTTGTACAAAATTGTATTCTTTAATGAACTTTGAAGAGGATTTTAATGAAAAAATTCCAAAACAC